ATACTTAGCAACAGAAGGGCGCCCTGTACGTTGGGCACGAAGTATAGGAAACTTGCATGGTTAAAAAGAAGGGCGCCGCCTACGTTGGGCACGACTTCCGCCTTATTTTTACAATGCGAGAACTCTATCTTGTATTTCTAGTATCTTTGGATGGATAGATAGATAGATATTAAGCATGTCACATGTTTTGTTTTTTTTTTCAAATAAAAGTTGATAGTTTGGACAGAGGGCCTAATAATAGCAAAGAGTATAAACTGCAAGAGGTCCCACTGCCGGAGATTCTTTGGAACGCAAGCCTATTTAAAAAAGTACCACTCAAAAGGGGCGTGGCCTTAACAGACATTCGATGATCGAACGTGTGCCGTGTGCATGTTCGATTTTCGAACTCTATTCGAATTTGAATAGGGCCCCATCCCCCACCTATTTCGTGGGAGTACTTTTTTAACGTTCCATTGCCTGCATACAAAATCATGGCAGTGGGACCTCTTGCAGTTATATACTCTTAGATAATAGCTACAGCCGACAAACGTTAACGGGTAACGAGTACATCGTTTTATATAATCATGTCGTTTCTTTGTTTTTCCGAATGTTAAGAGGTCTACCTTGCTGTATTCAAGAAAGAATCAGAGGATGATGACGTAATCGATTTGTCAACGATAGGCGTATCAGATGATGAAGAAAAGGAACAGAACACACTTAAAATGGATATTTCAAGTATTCCAGATGATAGTATGCATCTTTTACAAAATTATTATTATTATTATTATTATTATTATTATTATTATTATTATTATTATTATTACTATCACCATTATTACTACTACTACTAACTATAGACTACTACTACTACTACTACTACTACTACTACTACTACTACTACTACTACTACTACTACTACTACTACTACTACTACTACTACTACTACTACTACTACTACTACTACTACTACTACTACTACTACTACTACTACTACTACTACTACTACTACTACTACTACTACTACTACTACTACTACTACTACTACTACTACTACTACTACTACTACTACTACTACTACTACTACTACTACTACTACTACTACTACTACTACTACTACTACTACTACTACTACTACTACTACTACTACTACTACTACTACTACTACTACTACTACTACTACTACTACTACTACTACTACTACTACTACTACTACTACTACTACTACTACTACTACTACTACTACTACTACTACTATGCAAAGTATGGATACATTACACATAACAGTATACATTTGATGATATAATTAAAACAGGAACACTTCGGATGTCAAAAAAACTAAAATTGAAGTGGCCAGCAGTATCTTGTCAATACGGTTAACGAGCGATGGGCAAGTTGTATCTATCCCTGTCAACTTCACTCTTGTTCATGACACAGTAGGTTCCACAGTCATCATCAGTATATAATACTACTACTACTATAATTATTGTTATCAATGATGAAATGTATTGTTCAATAGTTTAAGCAATTCATTATCATTACTTTCATTGACATTTTTATTGTAATAACGACTGTTATCATTGTTAATAATATAAGAAACGCTGTAATATTTTTATGGATTGTAATGGGGCTAAGCAGTTATAAGATACATAAACGAATAAGTTATAATAATTAATATGGGTGTATGTATGTATATGTGTGTGTGTGTGTGTGTGTGTGTGTGTGTGTATGTATATGTATTTATGTATGTATAACTCAATATTATTCATTTCAACTTCATTTCAGACAGTCGTCCATAGAATAAATATAAATGGGATTGAAATTAAACACAAACAAAAAATGCCATATCAAATACTTTGACAGATCATTCTGTCCTACAATTACTAAAAACAACATTCCAATTCTCTCCTAGCTTTGTAAGGTTTCGATTCGTTCAGCATATGCTCAATAGCACATTGAATACGCTATTTTTTGTCTGAACCCTATTCACAAAACTAAAAACTTATTTTCTCAGAAATTCATTGAAATTAGGCAAACCATTTTCAACAAATAATCGGCTAGCACTAGTATACCTGGGCTGTTTAAGCATCATACGAAAACAATCATAATAAACGATTTAAATCTTTTTTTTTATAATAGATTACCCTACCCTATCCCCATAGGGATGAGCAGTATATATAAAAAAGACGATGAGAAGATGACAACAACGACTTTGTCGACTTAAAACACAAAATTTATTCAGAGCATGAATATGTTGACCCGGCCTGGGGTCTACTTTAGCATGTGTGACAAACAAAATTTAAGTTGGCTATTTCAAAAATCTTGATTTAATAAAAAGTATAATATGATTATGCGGTCTGAAATTTAAATTAAAAAAAGTGAATGAAGTTGCTGTGAACCACTGTGAACATAATAATATGCGGGTGAAGGATATGTGTGGGCGTACATCAGTTTTTGGCCTATGAGGGAATTATAATTCATACGGTAACATTTAAATCGTATATTTCTTAAGTCGTGATTATATTTTAAGAATTACTATTCAAAAAACCACTTTCAGGTAAATATGACGGTCCTTAAAAGTAATGAAAAGCAGGCGTCCTTTACGTGTTCGTTCATCGATCATACGAAGGACCATTTGTAAGTACTATTTTAAATAATTAGTTTAAATGTGTATGAGTAGCTGCCATTCGGTGCATTGGGACAATTTTCTTAACAGTTTATAAATCAAAAGGATGTGCCGGTGACTTGAAACAGTTTGCATTGTTGATGAGGTGAGGAAAAGATGGAAAATCTAGGAGTGCATAAAGATTCTTATCTTGGTGGAATACAAAGATCTAACATTAAGAACAATCGATTTGGTATAATAACTCAAATGTGCGTAATATAAAGCGAAAAATATGTACAATATTATGAATATTCGACGTGTTCTGTTTAATATCGTTATTGTCGGTACTTTGCTATCTGTTGCTTTAATATTTCGCTAAAATAAAAATAATAGTGGCAGGGCCGGACGCTTTCGATTTGCGCGACGTCGCGACGCTAGAACGGATTTACTCATGCGTGACCGTCCTGTTCTCTGCACAAGTAGTAGAGTGACTTAACGTCAAAATATGGAAGAATCGTTACACAGATGACAAAACTTCAATTTTTGGATTTGTCAAAATTGAGTCCTAGCCATGCAACCGCAAGAGAATTCAACGTTCTCGCATGCGTAGATGACTTTATGTGACGTCATTCCGTTCTACGCCCAACGGTCGTCGCGCAATCGAAAGCTCCCTAGTGTCACCAAAAACGACGGACTGGGGAGGCAAAAGAGATGTGGTAAAGTACTGTAACTAAGGCAAACGAGGGTTGCTAGTGAAGGATAATGTGCTGATAAATTAAAACAATAATGGGAAAAACCGAACTATCAGATGTTGATTAAGTACATGTGAGTACTGATAAACATAAAAAGAGGGTGTTCGAAGATAATGAAATTGATTGTTATGAGGAGGCTTAAGGACGTAAATGTGGCTCTGTTAGGCGGTTGATGAAGATCCACAGGGAGACTTATAAAGCAAAGATGAGTGCTGGGAATTTATAGAGCAAAGAGGAGTGCAGAGGTGTACCAAACCACGGCGGTGGATGTAATAAAGAGGCTAGTATATATAGTTACTTAATTATTATTTTTTCAGGTATTGGAGTGCGTTTGGATGCGTAACGTCAACAGCTAAAAATAGTCTTCAATCTAACTGTAATTGTAACCACACGACAAGCTTCGCAGTATTGATGAAAGTTACAAATGACGATGTGGTAAAGCGTACAGTTGTTATGTTTTATTATGTTTTTGTTTGAATAAATGTAATAAACTTAGCAAGTAATAGCTGATTTTAAATGTAGTACAAACAAATAGGCCTTTATGTGTTTTCGTAGTGGAGGAGGCTGCGTATAATAATATATACAATGTTTTTTAATACCCATTATACTACCGTAAAACCTCGAATTGAAGCCCAGTATATCGGAGAAGCCCATTTCGAATTGAAGCCCCCTCATTAGTTCGCAAAATTAGCCTCGAAAAGAAGCCCATCTCAAAAAGAAACCCATGGGCTTCTTTCCAAAATAGCATAGGCTTCTTTTCGAGATAGTACAGTACATACACA